GAAAATAATGTAACGACTGCGATGAACAAGTGAGAAGGACAGACTGAGGGTACAGCCACACGATCTCATGCAAAACTTATGGTGGAGTCCCATGGCAGCGTTTTGCGTTGCGTCGTAATGGGAGAGAAAAAGACGCAAATATACGTTTGATGCATTCTCTCTCATTACAACGCAACGCAAAACGCTGCCATGGGACTGCGGCCTTATGCATGCAGGTTGCCATGCGTTGCGTTCAAGAGTGAGAGAGATAGGATATTATTCTATCTCTCTCACTCTTGAACGCTACTATGGCAACCTGCATGCATAAGTTTTGCATGAGAAGGTCTGAACGCTCCCTGAGTCGACGTTTTTATCGAGAATAGTAGCACACCCAGTAAGAAACGAAAAATTGAAAAGGATTGAAATAATTCAAACTCTGTATGGTGTAGTAGAAATTATCCAATACTTTTGAATGCCATTTCTGTCCAATACTTTTCTATACCATGATAGGACCACGTTTCGTCTAAAAATGAATGCTATTCAATTCTTTTTGTAATTTTTAACAAAGACAAAATTTTTTTCTGAATGCTTTCCAATCCCATCCGAAATTATTACAGCCTGTCATTATATCACTTTTCAATTTTTCATTGGAACCGCGTTTCTGCATGCATTCAAGCAATCTTCTGGATTTTTGTAATTTATAAGATACATACAGTGGCAGATTTTGTAAAAAGTGTTTGTGTTCAAAGAAAAACTTGCTGAAAAATTGATTGTTTACCAATTTAACGTCATTTAAACGAGTCAGGGCCGTTATTCTGTTAGACAATAAATCATAACCTAAAAATTTCAGAGACCTTTAAACACTTTTAACCCTCTTAACTGATAATTTAATAATTATTCCTTTTTAAAATAGCAAATAAATTCATGAGTGCAGTTATTTGAAAGTAATTGAACATTCTATATGTCAACAATATTAGTATTATATTATTATACTACTGTTGCGGAATTCAGAAGCATAGGGCAGAAATGGTATTCAAAAGGATAGAATTTTTTTAATGCTTCTTAATCTTTGCTTTCTTACTGGGTATTCAAGAGGATTGATATCGTTACTATTTATATTGCTCTCACTGGATAGAAAAGTATTGGACAGAAATGGCATTCAAAAGAATAGAATCTTTTTAATACTTTTCAATTTTTCGTTTCTTACTGGGCACGTACCACTGAAAAACGCGTCGCGATAAACTCATTTGCGCAGGCCACGGAGCCCACGGAGCAGCCCGGTGACACTGCTTTACAACTCGTGGCAACATGCTGACTGCTGCCACCGCAGCGCTGATTAACTTTAAGGCCAATATTTTGGCGGGAATTTAAAAAAAAATAATATTATTTTAAATATTTATTAATTATTTTATATTAATAATTATTAATTTTGCAAAATATTGATAAATAATTAATAAATATTAATAAATATTTATAAATAATAAAAATAATGTTATTTTTTTTTAAATTCCCGTCAAAATATTGGCCTTAAAGTTAATCAGCGCTGCGGTGGCACCAGTCAGCATGTTGCCACAGAATTATATGGAAATGTATAGGAGTGTCACCGGGCTGCCACGGAGTAATAATAAGGAGACTGCACTCCAGGAAGGAAGAGTAAGGAGACCGAACTCTGCTTCTACAAATGTCTGAGAAATATGCACGAAAAGTGCCAGACTCACTGTGTTCTAGTTGATCACCAATTAAGTCGATCATGCGCATTGAACTAAAGTTCAGTGTTGACATAGATGAAAAGTGTGGTTATGTCAAGGTAAATATTACATAGTTTAAACAGTGTTAATTTTAAAAGCGAATTTATTTACTTGCAATTGTGATATTATTTAGATTTTCAAAATAATTTAATAATATATTTATGAAAAGGGAAAAATTTTGCGAAAATGGTTAAGAAGAATTGTGTTTATAACTAGAGTATATTTACATACCGTAGAAGGAATCCTGGAAAATTGTGATTTCCAAATTTAGTATAAGTTTTTCTAAGTAAAACTAAAAAAGATAAATCAAAAACTCTTTTTTATTTTTTTAGTAGAGATCATAAGCTTTCAAATGATATAAATTAACTTGGATTTAGAGAATAATTTCCTAGATATTTACCGATCTGAAAAAAGTGAGCGGGTTTACCCCAGTCTCCCCTATTCAGAGACGCATGCATTACCCTAATCGCCAAGTCGTCGAATGATCAAATAGTCGAATGCCAAGTAATCGAATGGACAAAACGTCGAATGCTAAAAACATCGAATCGGCATTTAGTCGAATGCTTAAAACATCGAATTGTCAATACGTCGAATGTTCAAAACGTCGAATTATCAATTCGTCGAATGTTAAATATATGGATAATCGTCAATATGACGAATGTTCAAAACGTCGAATCATCAATTCGTCGAATGTTAAAAACATCGAATTGTCAATACGTCGAATGTTCAAAACGTCGAATGCTAAAAACATCGAATCGTCATGTAGTCGAATGCTAAAAATATCGAATCTTCAGTTAATCGAATGCTAAAAACATCGAATTCTCAATTCGTCGAATGTTCAAAACGTCGAATGTTTAAAACGTCGAATGGTAAAGTTGTCGAATGTTCAAAACGTCGAATCGTCACCTGTTCGAATTGCCAAGTAGTAGAATGGTAAAGTTGTCGAATGTTCAAAACGTCGAATTATCAATTTGTCGAATGCTCAAAACATCGAATTGTTAATTCATAGAATTCTTAAATCATCGAATTTTTCATTCGTCGAATGTTCAAAACGTCGAATGATCAAAACGTCGAATGCTAAAAACATCGAATTCTCAAATCGTCGAATGCTCAAATAGTCGAAACGCCATCTGTTCGAAATGTCAAGTAGTAGAATGGTAAAGTAGTCGAATGGTAAAGTAGTCGAAACGCCATCTGTTCGAATTGCCAAGTAGTAGAATGGTAAAGTAGTCGAATGTTCAAAACGTCGAATGATAAAAACGTCGAATGCTAAAAACATCGAATCGTCAAAAGTTCGAAAAAGTTCTTTGTTTTAAGTTAATGTCTACTGAAGACAAAGAACTTTTTCGAACTTTTGACGATTCGATGTTTTTAGCATTCGACGTTTTTATCATTCGTCGTTTTGAGCATTCGACGAATTGACAGTTCGATGTTCTGAGCATTCGACGTTTTTATCATTCGACGTTCGGAACATTCGACTACTTTACCATTCTACTACTTGGCAATTCGAACAGATGGCGTTTCGACTACTTTACCATTCTACTACTTGACATTTCGAACAGATGGCGTTTCGACTATTTGAGCATTCGACGATTTGAGAATTCGATGTTTTTAGCATTCGACGTTTTGATCATTCGCCGTTTTGAACATTCGACGAATGGAAAATTCGATGATTTAAGCATTCGATGAATTAACAATTCGATGTTTTGAGCATTCGACAAATTGATAATTCGACGTTTTTAACATTCGACATGTTGATGATTCGATGTTTTTAGCATTCGACGTTTTTATCATTCGACGTTTTGAACATTCGACGTATTGACAATTCGATGTTTTTAACATTCGACGAATTGATAATTCGACGTTTTGAACATTCGACGTTTTAAACATTCGACGTTTTAAACATTCGACGAATTGAGAATTCGATGTTTTTAGCATTCGATTAACTGAAGATTCGATATTTTTAGCATTCGACTACATGACGATTCGATGTTTTTAGCATTCGCCGTTTTTATCATTCGACGTTTTGAACATTCGACGTATTGACAATTCGATGTTTTTAACATTCGACGAATTGATAATTCGACGTTTTGAACATTCGTCATATTGACGATTCGATATTTTTAACATTCGACGTATTGACAATTCGATGTTTTAGGCCGCAGTCCCATGACAGCGTTTTGCGTTGCGTCGTAATGGGAGAGAAAAAGACGCAAATATACGTTTGCTGCATTCTCTCTCATTACAACGCAACGCAAAACGCTGCCATGGGACTGCGGCCTAAGGGTGGAGTCCCATGATAGCGTTTTGCGTTGCGTCGTAATGGGAGAGAAAAAGACGCAAATATACGTTTGCTGCATTCTCTCTCATTACAACACTGTAAAAAAATCTGGTGTAAAATAACACAAAACTTGTAATTTCACACATCAAAATTATAGGTTGTACGTAGTAAATTTATTTCGTTCCAAAAGTAGTTTTACTATTTTTAATAATTTTACATTATACGACTATGTAATTTAATAGTTTTGTGTAAATTTACTACGTCCGACGTAGGAAAATTTGATCACTATGTCCGACGTGGTATTTTTACATTGCGTGTATTTCTACACTTTGACGTAATATTACGTCGCACGATCTGTACAATTACATGGCGAATGTAATTTTCTTATTCCTTTAAGATTTTCGAAAAATTTTCAAGTTTTTATAAATAACTCTAAAAAAGTGTATATAATGTACATTTATAGAAAGTATATGCTAATTCATAAGTAAATAATAATATTACAAAAAGTTTTGGGCTATATTTCATAAATACAAAAAGTTACGACTGAAAATATTATTTCAAAAAATATTTGCAGGTTATGTAGATTACAGTCGGCGTGTAAAAATACCACGTCGGACATAGTGACCAAACTTTCCAACGTCGGACATAGTAAATTTACACCAGATTTTTTTACAGTGAACGCAACGCAAAACGCTGCCATGGGATTGCGGCCTAAGGGTGCAATCCCATTACAGCAGAATACGTCGACCGAAAACAGAAAATCATGAGTGCGAAAGAGATAGATAGATATTGTTGTTCTTTTCACTCTCATGATTTTCTGCTTTCGGTCGACGTATTCTGCATTCATGGGATCGCACCCTAAGCATTCGACTAAATGCCGATTCGATGTTTTTAGCATGCGTCTCCTATTCAGATCCTATTGAAGATAGGCCTTCACGTTCGTGAAAGTTGGAGTTGTGCAGTGTGCTTAGGCCTTAACCTTCTGTGTTCGTTACCATGGCAACCTGCAGGCAGACAGACTCTCTATTCATTTAGTATTTTCGCTTGACCAAAATACTCTTTATACTCTAGTCTGGAACTGGAAGTCGAGTCGTCTGATAGGATTCATTCCTCACAATTTTCTGTGAATTTTTCTAGTAGATTAATTAATAATGGCTTTCAGTATTTTAAAATCACTTCTAACTGCGTCGCGAACAGTTGTCAGTGGGTCTGCGAGACGTAAATATTAGATTCTATTTTTTTAAATTTCTTATGTAACAGTATTCAAGAACTTAATGAATTAATTTTCAGGTTATGTATCTACTTTTCCTGCCTTGAAAAGTTCATCTCATGAAACAAAAACTCAAGAATTAAGACGTAAGTTATTTGTTTCTTTTACAATTATTCAACCTTACCCATTTCTTGTAGGGTGAAGGAACTATAATTACCGAAACAGCTCCATTTGAGTACACAATAGTAGTAGTCTATAACATTGTTTACATTTATCTAATGTTCCTTTATATATTACGCACAAGTCAATCACCTTTTACATTTACAATTTGATTCATGTTCAAGTCAAAACATAATTTGTTTACTCAATAAATGGGTCATTTACCAACATAACCTCTAAATGTCACTTGGTTTTGCACATTCAAAAACAACTGTGTTTACCCTGCTTTCTTTTTAAATATGTTTTATATTTATTGGAAAAATTAAAATCTTAGTATATCGGTAACTTGAGAATTATCTATAATAATCAAGAGATTCTTTCATTCATTCTTTTTTCCTCCATTTGTTAGTCTTCTGCGTAAACTTTTGTCTTTTTGTCAAGTTTTTTTATTATAAATATTATCTTTTAATTAATTCTAACTTTATTATTAATTAATTAAAAATGATGTTTATTAAGTTTGAACAATTTATTGTTATTATTTTACTTTTTGCGTTGACGCTTTAAGTTTCGAAATTATATAAACAAGTTGTTCATTTCATGACCATTAAGCTTCCTCAATATATATTATTATATATAATTTTAAAAGTTAAATAATTATAATAGTTTATTAAATATAATTAATAAATCTTCTTTTTAATAAATCAAAAAAAAATTAATGTTATAGAGTTTATCATAAATTTTTTTTCCTATAATATATATATATATATATATATTTTTATTTTCTATATGTCTTTTTTACGAAAATCGAACAAAATTAATTTTTAATTGCATTAGCTATATTTCTCGTGTGATCTACGCGTAAAAATACACGTGTGCCAATTTTTAACTCTCTAGGTAAAAAAATGTGAACGTTATGGTCATTTTCATAATAGTTTTAATAGAAAGTTTCTACCGGTTAAGTACCCTGAAAAAAAATTAATTATTCAATTTTTTTATTATAGAATAATTATTTTAAAGTATTAAGATAAAATTTCAAAAAATACAAAATTTCAATTTTTTTATGAAAATTTAAAATATTTATTAATTCTATAAATATTGATAAAATATATACTTTATATACATGAATCGATTCGTTTTTATGTCAGGAATGCAATTTTGACAAGAATTAATGAAAATTTTAATATAGAAAAAAGTTATTTTAAAAAATACAAAAATTAATTTTTTCAAAAATTAAAAAATTGTTGAAAAAATTTTTTTTTTTAGATATTTTTGAAAATCCTTCTGTCTGATTTTTAGTATTCATGACCGTAATACACCTGCAAAATTTTATCAAAATCCGTCAAGACGTGTAAGATAAAATTTGTCCACAAGAATCGGTGACATACACACACACAGACACACACATACATACACACATACATCCGGACATTTGTTCCTCTCGACGAATTATATATACTACACTTGAAAATTTGTAAAAATAATTGATTCTAAAAAATTCGGAAATCGACATCACTATAAGGCTTCCTTTATGAGGAAGCAAAATTATAAACACGTGTAAAACAAGAGGGGATGGGGGAACTGTAAGTACATTAATTAATCACATTCACATTTTGCACCCTTTTTACCCTACGATCAGCAAAAATATTTACTTCCTTGTGGAGAAAGCATCGACTGTGTTTATTTTAATATGTAGGTCTGTATCTTTTTTGCTATTTTTACACATACGAGTCTTTTCTGTGTGAATAAAACTCTTGAATTTGTTGAATTTTGGTTTAGAATAATAGATGTTCTCTGTAATCTTATAGATTTCCAATTTATAGAATACATATGAAATTTGTTAGTTTTATCCAAATAAAATAAAAAATAAATTTCGATCGAGGGTGGTAAAGTAAATTAAAAATGGTTACGAAGCCATACTAACAACCTATCGTAGTACAGAAAGTTTCTAAAAACTAATATCGACTTTACATTTATTTCACAAATAATCTGTATAAATTTCATATAAATTGAGATTTTTCTGTAAACAAAATACTTTTTTTATTTTTAGCTACAATTCGACAAAAGAAAGATGAAACAGATATTGAACAATTAAAAGATTTTGGTCAATATGTTGCTGATTGTTTACCAAAGTACGTCCAAAAAGTGCAAATAGCAGCCGTGGATGAACTGGAAATTTTAATTGCTCCGGAAGGTGTTTTAGGAACAATTTCATTTCTCAAGAATCACCACAACGCCCAATTTACCAATATTGTGGACATTACAGCCATTGATGTTCCCAGCAGGTCCTACAGATTTGAAGTACTGTGAAAAAATTATATATTTTAATGAATAGGGAACCTCTTGTTCGACCCCGTTGCGGTAGCCATTTTTAGTTGTGTCTCTTTTTGATTTTAATATATGTTCCAGAAAAAGATAGAAAATCAAGATGACTGACGCAACGGGGTCATTTTCACGAGATTTCGGATTTCTATACACGGAGAGAAAAAACCAGTTGAAAAAACGTGAATATACGTAAATAATGCTGAAGTCACGGCTACACTAGACCCAAGTCAAGTTGTCTAGTGTCCGGGAATTTCGGGAAAACCGAGAAAAACTCGGGAAATTGACAGGAGTTTTAAAAATTGTCTGTGAATTTTATAAAAGTTTCGCTAATTTGTTAAAATGTAGAGAAAATTTGTATTTTAGTCTTATATTCTTCAAGAACTTTTTAAGGAAAAATATTATATACATTCGGGTCTAATTTTTTTCCCTATATTTGACATTTTCCAATATGAAGTACAAATTCCACTTTTTAATTCTAGACTAAAATCATTCACAAATATTAAGTATTTTCTTTAAATTTTATAGAAAAATTCTTTTACTCTCTAAAGTTTTCAAAGAATAAAAATTGCAAATTCATCGTTTCTATTAATTTATTTGATCAATTAACCACACTTTTGAAAAATATGTACCTCTTTGTTATTGTAGAATAAACAAAACGTCATCTACAAATGAAATAAGTAATAATGACAGAGTAAAAATTTCAATTTGTAACATTATGAGAAGAAAGAGGGATAATTATATTTTATACAAATATCTTAAATTTCCAACAAACAAGAGGTTCTATATTTGTCTAAAAGTATAGTTAATTGAAAAATTTAGAGCAAGAGAAGTTAGTTTTATAGAATTTAAAGAAAATACTGAATATTTGTAAATAATTTTGGTCTAGAATTAAAGAGTAGTATTTCTACTTCATATTGTAAAACTGTCGAATCCAAAAAGAATTTTCTTCATTTGGCGTTCGCTTGAACTCAAGATTTTAAAGTCGCAATTTTCACAAAAAAATCTCTATATTTAAAGAACTAGGTATATTTTCATATATTCACATTATTTAATTTGTTATATCTTGGCACATTTGACTCTAAATTTATTGATCTTTAAAATGATCCTAGTTTGATAGCTTTTACATATGAGGTTTTTGCAATTAAAGAATATTGGATTAATTGGATTAACAAATAATTCTAAATTGCATTATTTTGACGTCAAAATCTTAATCAGAGACCCCAAAAATACTACTGAATTAAGCTTTGATAGTAATTGGTATCAATTATAATTTTTTTGATTTTTTAATATTGAAAACATTTTTATACTTACATCATCGTTCTAAGATAGTATTTTTTGCAAAATTATGCTAGAATGTGACGAAATAACATCTAATATTCAATTATAGAAAGTTTAAAAGCTTTCCATTAAAAATGTAAAATTTGGAAATTTTCGATTTTTTGAATTTTTTGAAAAAATTGAATATCTCCCATTCTAATTAATATCACAGGACCACAAAATTTTTTTCGGGAAAATATACATTGATAGCACCATGTGTTCTATACGTATTTTGACGCGCTGAATCCAAATATGGGTCTATTTTTGCCCCAACACATCACAGTTTCGAGATAAATTAAAATTTCTCCAAAAAAGAGACATTTTTACCATTATTTTCGAACATTTATAAAGAGACAAATTTTTCTGATAATTTTGTTTACATCTGTTGAAAATTTCATGTTTGTTTGTCGGAATTGACACCTGTAAATGTGTATAATATCTAGAAATTACTAAATAAATTAATGGAAAGAATCGTTAAGTAGATGGTTACTTCCATTTATATAAAGTTACTATGTAATTAAATATACTTGAGATTTTTGTATCTATGAACAAAATGTTTAACTTTAATTAGAACTGATAGTAATATCAGATCTCGTAGTATTTAAAACCTGTGAAGTAAGTCATTAATATATTGAATATATTTTATTTATTTACTTGCACTATTTGTAACATTAAATACATATTTAGAGAACAATGAAGGGTTAATTCTTACAAATAAACCTGAAATTTCTGACAAATATGAAGAAAATTATGAGAAAAACTTGTATCCCTATAAAAATTTGAAAATATATTTTTTTATTTTTGATCTATTTTTTGGAGAAATTTTAATTTATCTCGAAACTGTGACGTGTTGGGGCAAAAGTAGACCCAGATTTGGATTCAGCACGTCAAAATACGTATAGAACACATGGTGCTATCAATGTATATTTTCCCGAAAAAAATTTTGTGGTCCTGTGTATTTTTTAAATCTGTATATTTGTAAACCTTCCTTGGATAAATACCTAATAGCCTACCGAGTTGGACTTAAATCGATTAACGCGTTTTTGTGTAATTAGGGTACAAAGTTATTGTGACAGACATACATACAAACGTACATACATACCTTAAATTTTTTACGAATATTTTTGGAATCTCTGATGTCCATAATAACTAATCATGCTAACATTTTGAAGTTTTAAGCTATGTACAGACAGATGTCTGATTTTATTAATAAGGATAATTGAAATTGTGCGATGAGTTTTATCTCCTTATTAATAAAATCAGACGTCTGTCTGTACATAGCTTAAAGCTTTAAACTTTATTATAAAATTAAAAAGTTAGCACATAATATGAAAGTACATTGAAAGTACTTTACATTATGTAGTAATAAATTTTTTTAATATTTATAAACTTTTTAGAAAAAAGGAAATTAAAATGCAGTGACTTTTAAAAATTTCATAGGTAAATTTTAAAATCAATTTTTATCTATTATTTTGGGTATGTTTGCATAATAATCTATTTATACAAGTAAATTAGCTCATTCTTAACAAACATCAATCAAGAAATTTGTATTATCTAAACTGATTTATTTGACATTAGGTAAGTACTCTGTCAAAAAACAAGACCGTTCACGTGAAATAAACCAAAATTTTTTGTTTATTTTTTGAAACTTTATTTTTTTAACTTTATAATTGTTTTAAAGCTTTTGTTAAATAATCACAGATCTTTTATTAACTAAATTACTTGTTTAAGTATACTTTAACTTATCTAGTCATGTTTAGAAGCTCAATAACTATTTAACCTTCAAATTCTGCTCAATATCTGCTGAAAATCATCAATTTAGCGGCATATTTCGCACATAAAAATTCTGCTGCTTGAATGATAAAATTATGCTTTTTTCTGCTGATTTAATTTCATATAATTTCTATTAAAAAACATGTTTTATAAGGTTTTTAGACGTTTTATGACATTTAAAAATTTTTGAGCAGAATTCTGCTGTTATGCTTTAGCAGAAAGTTCCTATCTCTACCCATATAGATTTTTTTATAACTTTTACATATACATCTAAAATTGAAAATAATATTTCTCTTACTGTCAAACCTTTACACTCAAAATTTATAATCAATTAATTATTTTCGAAGTTGTCAATAATATTCTTGAATATTATTCCGCATAGTTGGACTTACAATTAGTTTAATAAGCAAAAAAAATAATAAAATTGTCACGAGGAAAGATTAAATAATAAATTTCTAATAGAAATAAATAAATATAAAGAAATATTTATAGTAAATTTAAGTAATATTTCATACTAAAAATTTTCATATGAGTACAAAAAAATTTTGAAGGTTTTATACGCTTTTAGTCCTTTATTCCAAAAAGAATAAGAAAATTTTCTTCAAAAATTATGATTATAGAATAGGAATTATGCAAATATTTTTCTTTAACAATTTTTAACAAAACTTTATTTTTTTATTCAAAAGAAATGAAGAAAATTTGTATTAACTCTATATGTTAATTACAATTTTTATTACAAAATTTTAATTTGTTTTTTAAAAAGGAAAAAATTTTGCAATTATTTATTTTTTCTTAGTAAAATAATAATTAATAAATGAAATCAATAAATATTTTTTTTAAGTAATTAAAAAAACATTTTGAATTTATTATAAAATAATTATAATATACATAATCTATAAAAGCTTAACGACAAACAAAAGTATACACAAACTACAACTTCAGATGTAGAGAGAAAGATAGATGATTATTATAGTTAATAATTAATAATTATGTGAATAAAAAAATATTAAGCTGAATTTCTACTTATTAAGTTTACATATTTGATTGAATATAAATTTTGAGTGTAAAGGTTCGACAGTAAAAGAAATATTAATTTCAATTTTAGATGTATATGTAAAAATTATAAAAAAATCTATAAGAAAGTAAATGTTAAATTACACGTTTAATTCAAAACAATTCTTTAAAATTCCCTCTATAATAAAAGTATTTTTTGGCTAGTTACAGTATAATAATTTTTGATTTTAATCAATTTTAATGTAAAATTTTCAAAACAGGTTATTCTAAATTTTTTTCAGTAACAGTATTGCAGGCATTATTGTATAATGGCAGTCTCAACCCTGACGAATGCAGAGAGCTATTACTGAATTACGTGCAGTCAGAACCCGCAGCTCTGACGGGTGCACCAACAGTGCGCAACGTCTACATTTTTATTACATTTCTCTTAAACTATTTTCTGTCCCACTCTAAAAATTACATGTCTCATTGGAAAAAACCTCAGCTTTGAAATGAAATTATTTTTTAAAAAAATAAAAATACAGTGAGTTCTCGCGAGTCGTTCAATTCTCGAAAATTTTCAAGATCATAAAACTCACGAGTCGTTCAACGCATAAGCCACGCCTCCAAGGCGATTTCAGGGATGTGTGAAACATATTTATCGCCCCGAAAGACACAATTTCAATGACTTTGGTCCGTTTAAATTACACAGCACTGAGCACCGGCGCGCGCATGCTAGAAATTGAACGACTCGTGAATCGGACACTGATCAGCTGTTGAACGACTGGCGAGTTTGAACGACTCGTGAGTTGAACGACTCGCGAGAACTCACTGTACCCAAATCGGTCAAAAATCAAAAATAAAATTTAATTTTGAAAAAAGGGGTTACAATT